CTCAAACCACTGTGACCTTAAAATGGCTCTATAGTCTTCTTCTTATTTATTCAAATAAATAAAATCAAAAATAGCTCGAGTGCAGTTCCTTAATCTCTTAACTTTCATGTGCTTGGTGTATTTTCGATAAATTATTTTCCAATGTCTGTAGATACTGAATATTTACCCCCCCACCCCCCCCAAAAAACCCAGAATAATTTGAATGAGTGAATTTGACATGTTTCAGTTCTTCTCTCCTTCCTCTGCCTCTCCGTCATTCTCTGACTCAGACCTCATCTCCTCAGTGATCGAATTCTCCCTCAGGCTCGACAGTGGGACCAGCTTCCCCTCCGAGTCCACTCCCATAGTCTGGATGATGTTACTTCTGCAAAACACCAGGCAGAGAAGGAACTCCGAATTTTACCATTGTCAAAAAAACCAGTTTCTTTTCTCCTTTAACTTTTGCTTGCTCTTGGTCTTAACAGAACATATTTTATCTTACAACCTGTTGAAATATTAACATCATGACACTGCAGAATTTAAAGTGTGACAGCTAAAGATAAAGAGGTTAATTGAAATAAAAAGATAGAAAACAGGTTGATACCTCTGAATCTATCTAATACATGTGCAATATTATCCTTTAAGGTGTGATAACCCTTTGATTTGACAGATTTAACAGAAACTGAATCCTCTTTCTAATGAAATATGTTTCGGTTTAAAATTAAGTCTTGAAAATAAAAAGCTTAACCAATCATATCCAGTTCATATTTCCCTCCCTGTGTTGGTTCGCTCATGTATTTATAAGGTTTAAGACTGTATCTCCAGTCATGTCTTGTGTCGTTTCACTGACCTGGACAGCTTGTTGAAGAGCATGATCAGCGTCTTGGCCTCCTCCTCCTTCTCCTCCTCCGTCATGCCCGCCATGGGGTTGGACTGCTCCACCTCCACCCGGCCTGTCACAGGGTTGATGCGATCTTTGACCTGCCGGTACTCCTCGGTGTCAGAGTCAGAGTCGCTGGAATAGCGGCCGGCAGAGTTGGACATTCTGGACCCCTGGCCACCCAGCAGACCCCTGGTGGCCAGCAGGCCCGCTGCGTTGCCGTAACCTGTGTACTTGACAAAACGCCTCACTGGAGGAGGAGGAAGAAGAGGTAGAAGAAGGGGGGGATAGGGGATGATGGTGGAGACAAAGAACACAAAAGTTGATTTATTTTTACATTATTTCTTTACGGCAAAGGAGTCATTAATTAAAAATGACTGTTCAAAACCACTGAAGACTATTTTAAATTATTGTAAAAGCTGAGTTTCGAGAAAGGTAGAGAAACTCATATACAAGATAATTACATGGCAGTTATT